TTTTTTTTTTTTCACATTTGATTTAAAACCTTTATTTGTAGAAATTCATTAATAATTATCACATTGATTTATCTTGGCAAACAAAATATTAACTGGAATCATATTCTAAGAGATATGTAAATATAATTAATGAGAAATTGGTTGGGTTTAAAAAAAACATCAATTTCTTCATTCAAAGAGAATGAGATAAATAGGTTGGAGGTAATTCTTCTTTTTGTATCTTGAATCATTAGTACAAACTTTACTTCAAACAACATTTACCTTGAAACATGTCGTACAAGATGAAAGTTCTGATAAGTTTTGATAAAGTTTTGATAAGTAGTTTATCTTTGATTAAGATACTTCTTCTTGCATCATAAAGATACATATTTCTCATCTGCAAAACATATTCTAATTATAGCTTATAAAATAGATTATGAATACCTAAACCAATTTATATTTATTATTTAACATCCACTTGGGAAATTTTCATTCTTGATTCTGTTTACGATAGTTGAATTCCATACATTGAATGGCGTATTAGCTTCTATGAGCAAACACGCTTGAATGTTATCCATTTCGACACCTTTTATATTTACCTATTTGTCATGCTTATTATGTAAAGTACATGGTATCTATTTTTATTTCTCGTCAATATTCAGTGATTCAATCTATCATTGATGATTATGCAAAGTATTTTAAAATCGCATAATAAAATATAATTTAAGTTGTATCATAATAACGTGTAAATGAAAAACTTTATGTATTTTCAACTTCTAACATGATTTTATTAATCAAATAATATAATTTCAAAGTTAGAAATATTTTTTTCTTATAAAAAATTTCCAATTATTTAATAACATTATATAACACTATTATAAGATATTTATATCTTTATAAATAAATAAATCTTTAAATTTAACATTGAAATATTTTTATATATAAAAAAAGTAAAATTCTTTTTCAAAATTCGTTGAAAAGTTATTTTTTTTTTTTTTTTCAAAAGAATTTTCTTTCAAAGTTTAAGTTTCCCATGTAATTAACGATAAAAAACAAACACGTTTGAGTATTTCTCATTAATAGTCTGCACTTTGTAAAAATATATATCGTATACACTTCATTATTCAACTAGACGAGCAGCTTAATAATCTTCTTGCAAGAATCATACGTTTAACTATTAACTACAAGTGTTTCGATCCCAATCATATTTCACTGTCGAGATTATAAATTAATACTTAACTCTTTGCTATGATCACGTCACACGGAAAGATCAAGATGAAATATTATAACTAATTCCCATTTAACGATTCATAGAACTATTTTGAATTAAAATTTCATTTACATTTGTAGAATCCATTCTATGTTACGATGATATATCTTCAATTTTATTTTATAACTCACAGAGGTTAATTGCAATTTATACGTTATATCTTTAAATTAATATATATAAAATAATACATGTGCGATTAAATGAAACAATTTATTAAAAAATTTATCAAAAATCACGATAATTAATCTTGAAATTTCTTAGATCGTCTCTTTAATTGTTAAAATATTTGACGCCATATTGATTGTTAGATCACTATTTTATATTAAATCACTAAGAATAATCTAAAACAACATCTTTCCAACATCTTGCCAAAAAAATATTTAACGCCGTACCATAAGGATATCGATATCGAACAATTTTATCAAATACTTTTCAATATCAGAACTCCAAAGACAAAAATTACAGATATATATCAAATGACTATACTCTGATTAATCTGACGATTGAATAAGAAAATAACATAAAACGAATACACGCACAGTTTTCTCAACGCGCTTTCTCTTTCTCTCTATCTCTGTCCGCAATCCTCTTCCTCCTATTCTTCTCTCTCTCTCTCTCTCTCTCTCTCTCTTCTGCCTCTTTGTAATAAAATTCACCACCGACGATTTTTCTCCTCTTGCTGCTCCTCTTTCCTTATACCCTCCCCCCCTTCTGTCTCTCTTTCTCCGCCTGTGGCACAAACCGACGAGTACCGAGAGACACTCCTTGTCGAGGGCTCTCGCCGGAAGAAAGCGGTAACGACGTAACACTGTTGGAAACGTAACAGGGAGAGCCAG